AGGTCTAGAATGCGCCACTGTCCTTTTTTAGAGGTTGGGGGAGAGTCTATAGGAGTCACAGAAATGGAGTTACATGTCGTGCGCCGGGAGAATGGGGGAACGGGCACAGGGACAAATGGGACTGTCAACATTATATTCGTAACTGCGTACACATCAGTTTGGAAAATCACTATTTAGGGTAAAATGTTACATAAACAACATACCTGTGGTTTCTTTCGTCTGTGTTAATTTTTATTAATGCTATTCAGCTCATGTTCCACTCCACTTATTTTACGTTTCATTCCACGCACTTCATCTGTCACGTCACTTTGAAGAAACAGACAGAATTCACTTCTCAGATTATTGATGTTTTTATTTAGTTTTTCAACTTCCTTCGTAGGAAAATCCGATTCTCTCATATTGCCAATCCTCTCCAGAGATGCAGTGCTAAAATTCAAAGCAGTGAACGCGTCTTTGGCGTGCTTGACATAGTCATCGAACGTGACTTTATTAATTTGAGGGTTGGATGAATGACAAAGAGTGTTTCGTAAAAGACGAAGTTGATCAATGGCAAGTGCAATCGTCTCATTTGCATCTCCTCTCGAGCTTCTCACGGCAGAGTGGAATAGAGCAGGGCCTGGCTTTCGTCGTTTTAAATATATTTCACCAAGCGACTTTTTCTTTCCTGTGCTGTCTGGTAGCGCAAATGTTCTTGCATACAGAGTGGCTTGAAATAGTGCAGTGCAGTCCCACTCTTTAAATGAATTGTTGGTGGGGATTTTTGTGTTTGGAACCTCATTGTTGTAGAGTATATTGCGTACATAAAGCGAGTCATCCCAAACTCTGGAACTTGGTGCAACTCTGGTGTCCCACATGTCTACAAAGATGCTACGCAAAGCATCTGGGAATTCCTTTAGGACAAACGACGCAAATTTGAAGTAGTTCAACTCTTCATCAGAATACGGCTGCATAGACATGTTGGCTGAGTTTCTGAGTAAAAATGACACAGAAAAAAGGGACATGAAAAAACTGATACAAGGAAAAGCATCGATAAGGCACATGTTCAAAGCAATCCGACTAGTAAATGTCTGACTAGTAAATTTAATGAACGTAACTTAATTAAAGAGGTTACAGTTTACGACGCAATGTTTCGAAACTGCGGTTGGGTTAGGCGATATTTAAGAAATCATATCATGATTATCGTCTGGGAAATTATCATGATAGTCGATAATATCGCGATAAGATAAATGCATAAAAAACATGCAATGGCCGTAGTTTCAATCTTCGATAATATGCAGTAAAAATATATTAATAGCATAACCATTAAGCTATATATTAGCAACTAATAAGATATGTCAGTTTATATCTTATTGCAAAATACAAATTGAAGTAAATATCCCACTAAAACATGTAAAAACCTTGTTTTATTTCATCTTTACATATATCTTAGCTGTCCACTGCAACAACGGCAAAGCTGCAAACAAAGGCGTCAATCTATCCCAAAAAGTGGGGGAGGGGGGGGACGGACTCCAAACTATGAAGGTCCGGAGGCATGCTAACCGAAATTTTTTTTTGGTACACTGAAACTGCATTCCCAGCGTTTTAGAGGCACTTAAAAAGTTATATTACAATGTGCATCATCTTCAATCCACGTGAGAAATGTGAGTATATTAACCATGTGAGAAATTACCAACATGTCATAGCCTGTGAACAGACGTTACTCTCGATGAACATGTCCTCACTCTTATTTTATAATGCTAATAATATACATAAAGATATTACTCGACTGTGATTGGTTGATTTCAGTGCAGTTAATCCCAAACAGCAGTGCAATTTTGTGTAATCACAGTGCAATTTTCTGTAAACACAGTGCAAAAATCTGTAACAAACTGATCTGATTGGTGGAAAACATTGTGATGATTAAATCAACCAATCAGTTTAAAGCAGTTTAGTTTTAAAGAAGTTACGGTCACAGATCTAGATTGCTTCAAAACAAAACAAACATGGAGACGCGCTACACAAAGTAAAAGTTGCCTTCGCGTGGAAAATGTGGCTTTTATCTTTATTTTTAAATGGAAAAGCATTTACCTTAAACAAGACTAACAAAAAATACACGGTTGAGTGGAATTTTCAAGCTGTTAGCATTGTATAATGTGCTAAAACAAAGCCAGGAAAGCTTTGCTGGTGGAATGTTCGCTATAAACGCGTAAGTTAAAACTACAATTGTCTCGAACATTTTTATGTTAATTATTAATAAGTAATAGCATGGTTTCTCGTGAAATTTGGATAAACATGCACTCGTGAGTTTTTCAAAGACCTCAAATAGCACTCGTCCTTCGGACTCGTGCTATTTTGAGGTCTTTGAAAAACTCACTCGTGCATGTTATATCCAAATGGCACTCGAAACCATGCTATTACCTATACTAATAATCTATTAACTTAACAACTTGCCTTATTTTGATGATAATCATCTATGTAAGGGAATCTCAGTTAATCAATATTTATTAGCACCTGGAAATTTACATATAACTTCTCTTCAGTGGCGGACACTTTACGAAATATTGGGGGGGGGGGGCGGCTCGTGCCAAAGGCAAGGAAAAATTTTAAAATTTGGATCCCGGAAATGGCATTTGCAGCATTCTGAGAACACATTTTGTAAAAAACTAGGTTTTCAAAACATTGTTTTAATGGTCAACATTCAGTTATAAATCACATGCAAAGCATAGAAAAACAACATTTCAGAGAAAATGTTTACATGATTATTAACATTTCTGAATGGAATTGCATGTAAAAATTTATTATTTATTGTTTTTATCGGCCGAGTAAAATCGCATCGTGTGCGCCAGGCTTAAGTGAGTGAAATTTATTCGCTGCGCACGCTTTTGTTTTTGTTAAGATAATTAAAATTGGAATGTTAATTGAATTATCCGTTGTTTTTGAGCATAATAGTTTAATACGCATTCAAATAATAAGGTGCAGCAGAAAATTTTGCTGCTAAAGACTAGTATAAGCTTCAAAAACAACAAAAAATCGACAATGACATTTAAGAAGTGCCTGTTGCAAAAAGTTCAAACATAAGGCGGCCACGACGGAAAAATCGATTTTGCTCAAATTTTGCCCAGATATACCTTATTATATCGGAAAATGCACCATATATATTTTTAGGTCAAATGCTTTTTTAACTTTGAGAAAATGCCGTTTTAACACGACCACCCTAAATCGCCATTTTGTCTGGGAAAATATGCGCTGATTTTACCGACAAATTTCACGACGACAAGCGTTTCTAATCGATCTAAAACCCTAAAAATCTTGTTTTCGGTTATTCAAAGGACCGGGTACGTGACTTACAGGAAATCTGAGTTACTTTTAGGAATAGAAATAATCGTAGTTTTGGAGCACACTATCTTACCTCATTTACGATACCTTCTTAACAAAACCGATTTTCACCATGGGATAAAGCTCCAAATCGATCATGCTTCTACTAGTTGGCTCTTTAATAAACAAGCTTTCAATTGACGTAAATACTTCTTTGGGCAAATGAATACGCGATAAACGGCAGCGCGTTGAAATCGTCCGTTTTTGACGTCTTGCAAGTCAAACGCTGTTAATTTACATACGGGTCGAAGTAAACAATTTAATCAAGTATTTTAAGAGAGGATGTCCACAAAAATCAAACATAAGGCGGCCACGACTGAAAAATCGATTTTGCTCAAATTTTGCCCAGATATACCTTATTATATCGGAAAATGCACCATATATATTTTTAGGTCAAATGCTTTTTTAACTTTGAGAAAATGCCGTTTTAACACGACCACCCTAAATCGCCATTTTGTCTGGGAAAATATGCGCTGATTTTACCGACAAATTTCACAACGACAACCGTTTCTAATCGATCTAAAACCCTAAAAATCTTGTTTTCGGTTATTCAAAGGACCGGGTACGTGACTTACAGGAAATCTGAGTTACTTTTAGGAATAGAAATAATCGTAGTTTTGGAGCACACTATCTTACCTCATTTACGATACCCTCTTAACAAAACCGATTTTCACTATGGGATAAAGCTCTAAATCGATCATGCTTCTACTAGTTGGCTCTTTAATAAACAAGCTTTCAATTGACTTAAATACTTCTTTGGGCAAATGAATACGCGATAAACGACAGCGCGTTGAAATCATCCGTTTTTGACGTCTTGCAAGTCAAACGCTGTTAATTTACATACCGTCGAAGTAAACAATTTAATCAAGTATTTTAAGTATTTTACCTTTTGATAAGAAGATATATTCTTGAGTGGAGACTTTTTGCCTTGCTAAGTTTAAAATTGGTCCAGAAATCCCGATATATTTGTGAAATATCATCATATACAGGTATTTTGAGATATAATATTGTTGTCAGTTGCATGATAACTTCAGATCACTGTTCAATATTGTCTACTTTTAATAGCGCTAACATACAAAGCGATGAGCTCTTTAGGGATTATATTTGTTACTAAATTTACCAAAATAATTAGAACTACAACTGCTGTTTTCAGAGGTTTTGTTCCATTTTGTCCATTTTATTAAATTAATGTACCAGTTATGTATCGACTATAATGTTTACGAAGACGTAAGTTAATTATTAAGCAGGTGTTAGCGTGTGTGACATGAAATGAACGTTTATAATGTTTATCAATATAAGGAGTTTTTATTTTTAGTTTACCAGCCCTTATATTTGAATAGCCGAATTCATATTAGGGACGTGAAACTCGTCTTAGACGGAAACTCGTCTGTGAAAACCCGTCTGAATATGAATTTAGGGACGGATAAATTCGAATTTAAGACGAGTTTCCCGTCTAATACGAGTTTCCCGTCTCTAATATGAATTCGGCTAATGTGTGTTAAAACTGCAAGGTCATTAAATTTCATTAAAATCCCACAGACCACAACGATTATACGTATTCATTGTTTCTTGACGATAGTAGACGCGTACGCATGCATGTTGCGTAAGAGATTATTTCGCTGGCCTCAGAATGACAAAAAGTAACAAAGCTTTACACTAACCCTATTCCAAACACCAACTTTATAACTTAACCCTAACCCTACCATAACCCTTGCTCGTTATTAAATAACATACCGTAGTAAATAAATTAATCACCATTTCTAAGTTTTTTACTTTTTCGGGACAAAAAACTACTTGAAAAAGACCAGGGCTTTAAAAATTATTTGAAGTAGATAGTTATGATAAGACAGGTGTGGCGTTAGGGCCGCCCTTGCAGGGGGGGGGGGCAAAGGGAGCAATTTTCTCCGCGACCCCAGCTCAAGGACGGCCGGCAAATACAAATTTGCAAGGGGGTAAAAAGTTTGTCGACGGAGGGGTGGGAGGGGAATTATTGTGGTTCACCGGGGCCCCAAAGATATAATTGGCCCTGGGCCCCATATTTCACTGAGCTGGCCT